TATGCTCCTGTAAGGAGCAAAAGAAGAGTTCTTTTTTTCTGCCAGGCAGTGCCCTGCAGACCCTGCAATGTGTATTACCTAGTAGGACAGGTAGTGAGGAGCCCTGGCAATTTTAAGGATTGGAATAGGGGTCACACATTTAGATTTTTTTCTAAAGCAGCCCATTGCCACAAAAGCAATGAAGAAACAGGCAATCTCATTCATGGCTGGTGGGAGGGGCTATCAACCTGTAAGATCCACAGCTGGGTGATTTGCCTGTTTCTATAAAATTACAATAGCATATATGCCTTGGCCTGGTAATCTCACTTCCAGGAATTTGCCCTTAGGTGTGAGTGCAAAAACACAAAATGACAACACTACTTACTTATTAACTGAAGCATTGATTATAATAATAAGAGATTGGAAACAAATATAAATGTCAATCAGTAGGTGATGTGTTAAATAAACAATGATTTATCTATAGCGGAATAGTATGCAGCTGCCAAGAGATTGAGAAAATTTTCTATGTCTTGAGATAGAAAGATCTTCAAAATAAAACTCAGCTGTATTTATATTTTTGTGTAAGATAGAGGAAAATAAAAATATTTTTTTCATAAAAAAAGAAAACTCTGGAAGAATATGTACACAGATACCTAAGTTGTTACCTAGGGAGGGAGGGTGAAAGTTAGGTGATTTTCACTGAATATTTTTATAGACGGTGCAATTTTGAACAGTATTGGTGTATTACCTACTCAAAAGATGTTTTAAAAACTCATTTCGTGGTGCAGCCTCCATGGAAAATGGTATGGAGATTCCTCAAAAAAAATTAAGCATAAAAATACCGTATGATCAGCAATTCCACTTCTAGTATGTACCCAAAAGAAGAGCAAGCAGAAACTCAAACAGATATTTGTACACTCAAGTTCAGAGTAGCATATTCACAATAGCAAAGGTAGCAGGAACCCAAATGTCTACCCATAGGTGAGTGGATAAACAAAATGTAGTATATACATACAATGGAATATTATTCACTCTTAAAAGAAAAGAAATTTTGACACATGCTACAACATGCATGGATGAACCTTGAAAATGTTATGCTAAGACAAATAAGCAGATATTGTATGATTCATCTTATATAAGATACCTGGAGTAGTCAATTCATAGAGACAGAAAGTAGAATGCCAAAGCCTGGAGGGAGAAGAGAATAGGAAGTTATTGTTTACTGGGTACAGAGTTTGAGTTGGGGAAGATAAAAAAAGTTCTGGAGATGGATTGTGGTGACGGTTGCACAACAATGTGAACGTGTTTAAAGCTGCAGGACTTGTAAACTTAAAATGGTAAATTTTGTTATGCATAATTTATATTTTAAAAATTCACTTTGTTTGCAGATACAGGCTAGAATAGTGAATGAAGAATATTGTAGTCCCCAAAAGCCCAAACGAATGTTGCATACAGGAAATTTTCACTGTAGGATTTCCTTGTTTTTCGGAGATCAGGTCAGAATAAAACGTTTAACACTAATTACGCTTAAACTTTAAGAACAAAAGCTAAACTAACGCCCAACGTGGGGCTCGAACCCACGACCCTGAGATTAAGAGTCTCATGCTCTACCGACTGAGCTAGCCGGGCGCACCGATTACGTGTTTCATCAACTGTCATTAGTAACTGTTACTTCATGGTTACCTTTAGACTGTTCGAATTCAGCTTTGAAGTTAGATTTAGCTGGAGTATGATCTGGCCATTAAAAGGCTCTTGGTAGCCGGGAAACATGCACTCTGTCCGATTGAGCTTGACCGTCGTCCCTCCTACTTCAAGTCCGTTTTTTGCTTTTTGCCCTCTGCAAGTAATATAGCCCTTTTCCGTCCCCGGTAAGCACAGAGAGTAGAGGGAACACGTGTGAATCCTCTTGCCACTGGAGTGTTCACTCTGCGATTTTTTAACCCGGAGTTGTAAGGAAGCGTCAAGGGATGGGGAGAGGTGAGGTCCGCGGCTGACTCCTCCAACATGCGCAAACGCCAAGATCTGGAGTTTACATGGGCTGCAAATGCGTTGCATTTTGAAACTTGGTAGGGAAGCAAACAAAAGTTCAACACGAAACCATTATGGAGATGCCGGGGATCGAACCCGGGGCCTCATACATGCAAAGCATGCGCTCTACCACTGAGCTACATCCCCACCACATGAAAAGCGTCTCCCTATATACATTTAGGAGATTTTTGGAGCTGGGAGCGGGTGGGCGGATAACATCCGCCAAGTGCGACAACCCAGCTGCTGCAAAACCCTATCCGCAGCGCCGCGAGGGATTCTAGGACCCTCTACTGAATGACTACAAGTGAGAAGACCTCGACCGAAAGGACGCCTAGGAGAGGACAGGGCCTGGATTAAACACCTAGTGGCAGGCGGTGGAAAAAGAGGAAAGTCCTTTGACGCGATGCCGCAAATGAACTGTGAGCCGAAAAGAAAAGTAAAATGACTGTGTGCAGGACGCAACATTTGTGAAACAAAAAGAGCAGGGAGTGTAGTAAAAAATATAATGTTTGTATAAAATAATTTATAATTGCTTGGGAAGAGGAAAGGACTAGGGGTCAGGCAATGGGCAGACTTTTCACTGTGAACTGGCCTGTATATCTAAATTTTGAGCTACAGCCAAATTAATTCAATCCAAGAAAAGTTTACGGAGCTCCTATTGGGTACCAATAACTGCTCTGGAAAACTGGGGGTCCAGCGGTGAACAAAACCGACATAGTGCATTCTCCCTAACAGTTCGCCTTCCAAAAGAGGTAGAGTGCTAGGGCGTCGAGGGAGAGAATGTAGAAAGGTGTGAATTTAAAGTGTGGTTCGGTCAGGCTTCATTGAGAAAGGTGACATTTGAAATAAAGACTTGAAGGAGGCGAGAAGTGAGCCATGCAGGTATCTGGAAAGAGAGGTCCAAGTAAAAGGAACATTCAGTTCAAAGGTCCTGAGGTAGGAATCTTCCTGACTTGTTACAGGAACAGCAAGGAGGTCCAAGTGGCAGGCAGAGAGTCAATAGCTGAGAGTGACAGGAGATGAGGGTAGAGAGGCGGGGTGCAAGGAATTGGGTCGAAGAATGGGTTGGGCTTTTAGACAATAGCACAGACTTCGACTTTTACTCTGAGAGAGATGGGAGCCACTGGAGGTTTGAGCAGAGGAGGGCCATGATTTGACTTTAACAGAATTGTTCTCACAGCTGGGTGAAGCTAGGGCAGGGGACCCGGACAGAAGGGGAGAGGCAGTTGCTCATCCGTGACAATGTAGTGGAGAGGGTGAGAGAGTTGGACATGCTGAAGACTAGGGGTGGGATGTGCACAATTTTTTCCTCTTGGAATCATAGAAGACTCTCCTATGTTGGTCTGAGCACCTGGAGGGATGGAGTTGTTAAATGGGGTAGGGAAGGCTGTGCGAGGAGCCTGTGGTGGGGGCAGATCAGAAGTACAGTTGCGGACAGGGTATGTGACACCCCTTAGAACATGCAGGTGGAGATGCTACACGGGAGTTGGATGTGGGAGCCAGGCATCCTAGGGGGACCTGGGGTTGTGCACTGTGGTGTCAGAGAGAGGGTCATTTAGGCCGGGAAAGTGTAAGAGATCACAAGGGAGTGAGTACAGACAGAAGTCCAAGGACGAAGTCAGGGTAGGGAGAGGAGATGGAGGTAGCAGCTCATAGAGCTGGGGGAAGAGCCTGGAAGGCACTCAGAAAGGGTGTCAAGGAGGAAGCATCAGAGGAGAGGGCAGGCTAGGTGAGGCCCGAGAAGGGGCCTTTGCCTTTGGATTAAGATCACAGTGGTCACTGGTGACCTCGATAAGAACGATTTCTGGGGAGGATGGGGGTGAAAGCCTGACCCCAGTGTCCTCGGAGGGCATGAGGAGAGAGGGGATGGAATGCCGTGACCTGCACGGCTAGAGTGTTAATATACCTGAGGGCGCGGGGGGGGGGGCCGGGGGGGCGACGGAGGATGAAGAAAAACACAGAAACAAAATATAGGAAAAGCTGGGGCCAGGTGGGACACTGCACTCTGATAGAGATACAGTGACCCTGAGGCACGCTCAGCGCGTTTATTACACACAACTGGAACAAAGAGGGGATCGGAGTCTTGTTCTCGGAACTTGAAACTTGATGGCAACAGTAATCTCCTGAAGGCCTGTCTGTACCCAAATATTTGTGCTAAATCCCTAGCAGCCGTCTGTTCTTTGTTTGCTTCTCTGCCCTTGGCAGATTGCAATTCAGACAATCGTGGCTTTGCCGATGCTTTGACCATAGGTCCGACTCAGGCTTCGGCCACAGGTCCAGCTCAGATCCGGCTCTGTACAGTGGAAGCAAATAATACTGGCAGCCCTGGAGGGGACTGTGGAGATGGGCTGGAGGGACAATAGAGGGTTGGTATTTTGCGGGGGGAGAGAGTAAAGTGGGAAAGTTTATTGTAAATGTATTACTTGCTCCAAAACAAAAATTAAATAAAGAATAAACAACAGGGGAGGGGACAATCGCGAGAAAGGTAGCTACAGAGGTGGATATAAGGGCACGCTTGGGGGTGGGAGGCAAGAGCCAGGATCCAGACTCCAAATTTAGTTCAGCACGGGGCCAGGACAAACCTGCACTCCGGGAACCTGACACTATGGCCCGGGAGCCAGGCCCTTGCCCCGGCCACGCTGGGTAGGCCTGGAGCGGCACCCGGGAGTAGCGCCCAGCTGGGCGTGTGCGCCCACCTGTCCCAGCCCATTTCTCGTTGACTGGGTCAGCCTGGGGCGGCCTAGAGGAACCCACGGAGGGGCTGGGCGAGGGCAGTGACGGGGAGTGGGCGCCGCAGGACCGAGGAGGCCGCGGGACAAGGCTGGGGGCGGAGGGGCCCGAGGCTGGGCAGGCCCGAACTTGGACCCTCTCGCTGCGCGGCCCAGCCCGCCCTTAACGCTCTGCCTCCCGGCCGGTTTCCCAGCCGGGCGCGCCACCCCCCGCCGCGTTAGCCGGAGTTAGCCGCGCCCTTCCTCCCAGTGGGCTACGGGAGGCCCGCCTCGGCCGCCGAGTTCCCACCCGCGTACTGTCGGGTCCTGGTTCACCCCGGCGCCGCCCAACTTGTGTGCACAGAGGGCGCGCATGGCGGCGGTGGGGCCGCGAACAGGCCCGGGCGCCGGGGCCGAAGCGCTGGCACTGGCGGCGGAGCTGCAGGGCGA